GATGCCAATCTGTCTAAGTTAAATACACAAGGGTAGGAGTACTACGAGCCACAAACACAAGGGGCAAATAGTTGATTGTTCCTACAATAAAGTAAGATAGCATCGATTATAAATATATAGATATATATCTTTTTAGATAATTTTATAATCAAATCTTATATAAAAAATATTTTAATTAAACATAAAAAAAAATTAATCATAATTTCATCAGTAGTTTTATCAAATATATTAAATTTTAAAATGAATATCGTAAAAATCATTTTCTATTAAACTGTTTTTTTTTAATTATAATTATAAAAACAATTACAATACCAAATAAAATAATATAAACAGTAAAAAAAAATTATGGTAGATTGTTATAGTTTTTTAGTCGGGTCATTTTAGTATATTTTGTAATTTAATGTAATTATATTTGTAATATAATAACAACAATAAATGTGGCGCCCAACCAAGAAGATCAATGTTTGCATAACTAAGAGACAGAAACATGTGCCCGTCAAAGAAGCCTTTTCCGATTGTTATGGACCACCCAACGGAGAATATATGCTGAAGTTGGGCAAAAAGTTGATTAAAAAGCAATTTTTAGGGTGGGTTTGTTTCTGTGTTAAAAAATATTTTATTATTTTATATTATTTTAATGTAAAAAATAATTAAAAAAATATTATTTTATTATATTTTTAAATAAAACAACACCTACAATTAAAAATATTATATTAATTTTTTTAAAATGCAGCAAATCCTTGTTACTTTTCCCTAGTCATAAATCATGAAACGGCTACAAAACAGGATTGAGGACATTGTTAGAAGAATCAACTCTGGAGTCTACTCAATTCAAAACTATGAATTTGTTTGCTTTGTTGTTTTTTGATTCATCTACAAGTTTGAACATTTTCTTTAAAAAAAGTGCATGAATCTTGTATTGTCCCATAGAGATTTATTTTTCAATCCCCGCATCCTCACTTCATTGCTTTCAAGATTTGAATAAGATACTGGTTAGCTATTTTACTCGAATAAATATGCGACCTTTCCATTACTTCTTTTTAATATTTTTTATATAATTTAAAATATATGAAATAAATTGAGAATTATGCATATACTAAAATAAATTCTATTCAATTAAAACATACAAATATTAAAACACTCTTTCAAAAAAACAAATGGGTATAAAATAATTAAAAAATGATTGTTATTTAAAATATGCTAGATAAGCAGAGAGAGGATATATTAATTTAAATATAAATTTAAAAATTATTTTGAAAAAATACATATAAAAAAAGTATTAACTAAAAAATTGATTTTTCAACTCATTTTGATTTAAAAGACCTAGACAATATTTTAGATGACCTGATAAACCCATTCTTGCCCTAAAACAATTCAAAAAATCTAAATCAAAAAATTTACTGAGCTTGAATATGTTTTTCTAAGAAATTTAAAGGTAAAAAAAAATTTAATATAAACTTGTTTTTATTAAATAAAATAATTTAACACTAATATTAATTGTTTTTGTGATTAGAATTGGTGCAATGAAAACTCTATTCTTTAACATAAGATATCAACTTTTTTTTCTCATTTCTTTAATAATTAAAAAATAAAGTTTAAGATTAAAATTGATTTTACTCTTAAATTCTTGAAACTAAATATTTATAATTCGAAAAGTATACATTAAGTATTTTATCTAAACTTTGTTAAAGCTATCCATTTCCTTTATATTTTTCATTTTGATCCCTCGTTTTTTAATCTCATATTTCCCTAATAAATTTGACTATAATTTTGCCCAATAAAAATCAAATTAAAAAGATAATAAAAAAATTACTATAAACATTCCATCCACGTTACTATATGAAGGAATCCACATTGAATTCCCGTGCATTTTAGATTTATAGATAATAGTTAATTATTGTAATATTTTAAACGTTGAAATATTTTGGTTTCGATAGTAAATATGAAGGTAGCAAATATTTATTTTTTCTCCGCATACCACACCATACACCATAAAAAAAAAAGAAAAAAAAAAGAGGACTTTCCACCTCTACAATTCATTAAATAATTTTGAGTAGCTCAACTGCTCCCCTTTATCGGCAAGATTTATACTGTAAGTGGAGAAAAAACGAACAACCTCTTCATTTTTAATTGACGAATTTATGTACGAACTTAATAATAATACAACTAAAAGAACCGGGTCGGTATCGCTTTTGATATGAACAGTTAGGATGCTCCCCGTCTTTCTCTTTCTTTCTTCTTCTTTTTTCATTTTCTGTTTTTAGATTTTTCATTTAATATTTTTATGAAATAAATTTTAAATTTTTTTCTTTTCATTTTCTGTTTTTAGATTTTTTATTTAATATTTTTATGAAATAAATTTTAAAATTATAGTATAAAGACAAAATTAAAATAAAAAAATCATATTGTAAAACAAGAAAAAAATACATGGTCAATCCTTTTTTTTTTAAAAATTTCAATGTTAATCTAAAAGTTCATTATGTTTATTTTTTGGTTTTCAAGTTTAAAAGAAATGTTAAAAACAAAACAGTGAAAGAAGAAGAGTTTTTGGTTAGTCATATTTTAACCACAAAAAATAATAATCTTCATGTCTGGAAAAGTAATCAAGTTTCATTTTTTTTTTTACTTGACTGATTTTTTTTTTTTTGGAATGATTTAAGAGTGTTTTGAGATTGATAAATTGTTTTTTAAGATTTATATTGTTTTTTGGAGATAATTTCAAATACAAACAAGCTGAAAATTATATTTTTGATAATTTCTAAACACCAGATGTGATAAAAATAACCAATTAATAACATGTTATTTACTTGATAAATAATTAGTCAACTGCTTAAAAATAAACAGATAAGTATATGAGGAGACAACAAGTTTTTTATCTTTTTGAAAAAAAAAAATCTAGACACAGGTTTGGGCTTCTAGACCCAAACATGTCAAAGCTTTTTTATTAAGGCTAAATGAGTGGGCTTGGCCTTATACACTTTACCTCTATCCCTTTTTGATTTTTATGCCTTGTTACTTATAAGAGATTAGTTTGACATGAATCAATTTTTTTTTCCTTTCATATTCTATGTAAGTTAGCTGTATTTATATGATTTTTTTTAAATAACAATTATTTAACATTAATAACAACATTAACCGCAAGGCTAAAATAAAAAGATTTAAAATAAAAAGGATAGTGGGTATACAATATTTATGTATGTATCTATTTTTTATTTATATTATAAAAATTAACTTTTCATTTTAATATTTAATTAGTTTCAACACTTTTTTTTAATTTATAAGTTTGTATATTTTTTATTTTGTTTTATAAAACACAAACATCCTTTTGTTTTTCAATTAGAAGAAAAATTATAATAAGTGAAAACAGGTCCATAATATAATTATTTCTTTTATATTAGAAATTGACTTGAATTGCAACCCGTAGTGCAAAGAACATGTTGTTGATGTATTTAAATTAAAAAAATTATAATATTTTAAATATTATTTACAATAGTAATACTTTAAATTAACTTGAAATTTTATCTAGCACAGGAGGTAAAACTAATATGTTAGTACGGAAATTGACAGTATTTAGAAACAGTAGATATAGTTGAAATCAAATGCGTGCAGTTGCTGTTGTCGTTCTTCTTGATTTTTAGTGTTTGAACAGCTCCCACGCATCATAATTAATTTTATAAATTTAAAAATTAATGATTGACTTTTAGTAATTATTATATATACAACTAAAAACTCGAATGTAAAACCATTAAAAAAATAAATTTTTTAATTTTAAATTTTTATCACTTAATCATTATTATTATTATCCTTCTTATTATTACTGTTGCTATTACAAGTTTCCACATCCTTGAAGAATGAGGAGACGATGAGCCACTGGACTCAAATAATGTAACATAAGCTGTCAAAGGTTACTGCCCAAAGATGACTTCCATTAGGGACATGAAAATTTATTGTCCCTAAACATTGCGGCTTGGATTTAAAAAAAAAATTAAAAAAATTAAAATAATAATTTAATATTATTATTAAATTTGATCTAATAAATTAATTTTAAAATCTTTCAATCTAATTTTTTATTTAGTTCTAATCTAAATTTGATTTACATGAAAGTTATCTTGACATAATCTAATTAACTTGATAAATTCAAAAAATAAACTAGATAATCATTAAAAATATAGTTTGACTAGATAATAAATTCAAGATAATAACTTTTTTATTTTAATAATGAAATGAAGATATATTAAAATGTTTCCGAGTGTTGTGCTAAACCAATAACCTTGATTATGAACTCTATCATATTTAACAAATTTTTTTAACAATATTTTATTTAATGATACGAAATAAAAAATAAACATTTATAGAGAATTAATTAAATATTAAGATTTTTTTTAGATATTAATAACTTTATAAAAAAATTTAAAATAAATTATAAAGATCAATTTCAAATCAATAAAATATTGCAAAATAAAAATAAAAATAAAAATAAAAAACTTGAAAGATAGAGTTTAAAAAAATTAAAAAAAGGGGTAGCCTAGGGTTTTACCCCAATTTTTTTAGTAGAGTAAATTTAATATTAAATGTTGAAAAAAAATTAAACTCATGAGATGATAAATAACCTAATAGAGAAAAAAAAATAAAAAATACAATTTTTTAAAAAACTTAAAAGATAAAAAATAAAAAAAATACAAAAAAAAATTAACGTGACTACAAGAATTTAGCCACTTTTGACATTTTTGTTAATGTTAGTTTTGCATGTTAAAAACATGAGAAAGAAATATTTTAAAGGTACCTCACATTAGTTTTAATTAAGAATATATCTTTTAAAACTATAATTAAAAATATTTTTTAAATTATAACTATAAAATTTTTCACAAAATCAAATATATACTGATATTCTACTATTAATAAAATTAAATAGAAGCATAATATGTTTTAAAAATACAAAAAAATAGATCCAAATTTAAGTAGTAAAAGCCGAAGGCAATATCCAAATACATATCCTTGCTTTCACACGCTTCCATTTCCCTTCCCTCCTCTTCAAAACCTCCCTCTTCTCAGGCCAATCTTGTCACAGATTTCTCAGGCCAAATTGTCATTTCAAGGGAAAGAAAAATAAGTACTACCGTATTTTTTATTTCCTGGAATCTTTCCTATTGGAAAGTTTCTTTTCAGATCCTTGGCTTGTACTTTTTTTCTAAAATATGGCTAGAAATCCTCTCCATTTTACTCCGTCCCAATCTGTGGTTTCTCTTACTTTCTACCTTTCTGGTTTTTTCTAATTTTTGAGCTCTAGATATTCAAAACTGGGTTCTTTTCATACCATTATCCAGACCCTACTCCTTTTTTTCAAAGCCCTGAAAGTAATTGCATTGCGAGGAAGTTGTAGCTCATTGGCCTAATTTTGGGTCCCGTTTGTTGTCCCTGTTAAAGTTTCAATATTCAACTCCCATTTTTCTATTTCCCCATGCCATCAAAATTTTATTTTTGATTAGGTCATTAGCTGCTATATTCCTCAATCTCGTGTCCCTACTTCCTAGTCAAATATTAGATGATCCCGTTTTGATTTTCATTTGTACCCTGGTCTAAAAGGGAGATTGATCTTCCTGCGGTGGTCAAGGTGGTGCACACACTGGCTTCTTGATTTTTAATCAGTTTTCCTGCCCATTTAAAGTACCGAAGTCCCATTCTTTAGACCCTTCTTGAATTTGTAGTTGCTCCATTGTCATTGTTTTCTGCTTGATTAAGCATACAATCCTTGAAATTCTTGGATTTAGTCGTGTTTTTGCCTAATAATCGTTGACATGTGATTTATTGGCTTTAATTTTTGTGTCAATGATCATCTTGAATCTCTCCTGTTTCGTAAGCTTCATTGTGTTTAAGCTGTCTACTTTTTTTACTACATGCTGCTGTGCCTCCGATGCGTAAATTGAGGTTCAGTGAATTTCGTCTCTCCTGCTTGTTTAGAGGCTTCTAAGTAGTCACTGAATTTGCTGCTTGTTTTCTTGCATATCTAAGCATTTCAAGTATGCTTAAGCAGGGCAATTTCTTGTTCAGTTCACCTTTCCTTCTATGTGTCTTCTTTTGGTTCTTTCTCATTCATATTGTTGTTTCACATATTCCCTTGGGGTCAAAGCTTTCTGTAGAGGAAAATAACTTGTGGGTTTCCTCCAGTAGTGATTTTGCTGTTGGATTCGTTAACCATTCTGAACAGCCTAATCAGTATGGTGTAGGGATACGTTTCAATTCAAAATCTATTCCTTTCCCCAAGCAAACTGTGGTCTGGGTTGCTGGAGCTGATGTCACTGTGAGTAACAAGTCCTTTTTCCAGCTTTCTCAAAACGGCGAGCTGGTATTGGTAGATTCTTTGAGGGGCGTTGCTGTGTGGACCAGCAACACGAGCCAATTAGCTGTTGCTTCGGCTCTTCTTCGTAATGATGGCAATCTTGTTCTATTGAATAGAAAGAAGGATGTTGTTTGGCAAAGTTTTGATAATCCATCCGACACACTTCTTCCAGGCCAGAATTTACCTGTTCATAAAACCCTTAGAGCTGCAAGCAGAAATTCTGTTTCAAGTTATTACAGTCTTCATATGAATGCTTCAGGCCAGTTACAGCTGAAGTGGGAAAGCGATGTTATTTACTGGTCCAGAGGAAATCCTTCTAGTTTGAATCTTGGCGTCGTCCTTACCTCCGGTGGAGTCCTGCAACTTGTGGACCACAATCTGAATCCTGTTTGGTCTGTTTTTGGGGAAGACCACAAAGACATTGTAAAATTTCGGTTACTTAAATTAGACATTGATGGTAATCTGCGGATATACTCATGGGTAGAAGCTACAGGGTCATGGAGATCAGTTTGGCAAGCCGTTGAAAATCAATGCAATGTTTTTGCAACCTGTGGCGGGCATGGCATCTGTGTTTTCAATACATTAGGATCTCCCGAATGCCGATGCCCTTTCAAGACAACATCTTCATCCAACTTGAAATGTTTTTCACTGAATTGTGATTCTAATCACAGTATGGATACTTATGAGCACACTTTTCTGTATGGGATTTATCCACCAAATGAATCAATCACCATTACTAGTTTACAGCAATGTAAAGAGTTGTGCATACAGGACCCGGCTTGTACAGCTGCAACCTTCACAAATGACGGAACTGCCCAGTGCCGAATGAAGACAAGCCCATACTTCTCTGGGCATCAAAACCCCTCTTTAAGTTCGATATCTTTTGTTAAGACATGCTCGGACCCCATAGCTGCTAATCCCCATAATTCAAGTTCTTCTCCATTACTATCTCCAGTCAAACGGTCTCATGGGTTGTGCCTTTCTTGTCAAATTGGTGGAGCAGCCTCAGGCACATTACTTTTATTTGTTGTTGTTCAGTTAGGGATTGGCTACTTCATCTATAGAAGAAGAAATCGGATTTTGAGGGAAGCTGCTTTAGCTTACACAGGCCGTAACTCTAAGGGTGTGATGATGTTACCATTTACAGAAATCAAGGACATCACTGGGAATTTCAAGCACCAGATAGGGCCAGGTATGTATAGAGGTGCGCTTTCAAACCAACAGCCAGTAGCAGTCAAAGACCTTGACGAAACCATTGAAGAAAGGAAGTTTCGAGCTGCTGTATCGAAGATAGGAAGTATACATCACAAAAACCTGGTGAAGCTGAATGGCTATTGCTGTGAGTTAGGTCATAGATATCTGGTCTACGAATATGTCAAAAATGGTTCTCTGGACAAATGTATCGAAGATGATGAGTTGAATCAAAGACTGACTTGGAGAAGGAGAGTTGACATATGCTTAACTGTGGCAAGGGCTATTTGTTATTTGCACGCAGGATGTAGGGAGTTTATAAGCCATGGAAATTTGAAATGTTCAAACATAGTCCTGGATAAAAATTACGAGGCCAAGGTGAGTGAATACGGGTTGGAAATTGTTCGTCCTGAGGAATCATACGGTGGAGAGAAAGATGTGGCGGATTTTGGCAAGATGGTGCTGATAGTGATAACCGGGCGTCCAGAAATCAAGGATCTTTGGGAGTGGACCTATGAGGAATGGATCCAGGGGCACCCAGAGAGGGTGATTGATAAAAGAGTTGATGATGGCGTGGATTTAAAGGAGCTAGAGAGAGTGTTACGAATTGCATTCTGGTGCCTTCAATCAGATGAACAGATGAGACCTTCAATGAGTGAGGTAGTGAAGGTATTGGAAGGATCATTAACAGTTGATCCCCCACGACCTCCTTTCAGTCAAAGGTCATCAGAAGAAGAGTCCCTGGAGTCAAGCTCCAAACCTCGAAGTCCAATGGAACCATGACGATCAGTTAGTTTATCAGCTTTCCCACTATGGTCTGTATGTTAGAACTAACACTGCTTGGTGGTTAAATTCAGCACCTGCTTTGATATGCTCATGCCATTTTTCCATCAACTGCTTGAGTATATGAACTACTGTAAGAAGAAGAAGTTCCGTTTAGTCTTAGCTTGAAATCAAAATGCAACTTCATACGCATTTTGGGATGCCATATTTGCAAGATAAATGGTGGTTCTAATGCGATTGATGCATAGCCTCAAGCTTTTTGGGGGGGGCTTACTCATCGTTCTCTTCTCTGATATGGAATGCCAGAACAGTCAACCACTAGGGTTGTAAACGTATGAAACCTGCGACTTCTTTGGCAACTTCTCCTCAAGGCACGTGGCCTGAAACCAGTAAACCAGTGCCTAATTCAAGCACCTTTTTACCAACAATTGCCTGCTCTCGTTTTTGGAGGGAAGCATGTGGAAGGGCTTGAAGCTTGACGGTCCAAGAAACTTTATGTTGATTGCTGGCCCATTTTAGGTTTGTTTGCAATATCAAAGCTCTATTGTCATAATGAGTGGGCCTTGTTACCAGTATTCAAGTAGACCTTTACCTAAATTCTAGGTTTGTTAGGAACAGCCTAATTAATTATTTAGTTGTCTTTTTGGAGGAAAATAATTGCATTATTATTATTCTTTATTTGTTTAATCTTCTTTCCCTTCCGTCTTCAAGGCCCTTTTATCCAGCAAGGCAGCGACTGCAATAGGTTTCAACTTTCAACTACACTTACACCTCGTCGCAAGTAGGATAAAAAAAATTATATTTAATGGATGCAAGTATATTTAAGAAAAAAAAGAAGAATAATTAATATTAAATAATAAAAAACAATGACAGCCCATGTTTACCTCCATTAAGCTTATAAACCAAGCTTATAAACCGAGTTAACCTCCATTAAGTTTATAAACCGAGTTATTGAAGTAAAAATAACAATTTTATTTTTAAACTCAAACTTATTTTTCAATTAATTAAATAAAAAACAATAAAATTTATTTTTATATAAAAAATCAATATTAATCAATAAAATTAAAAATAAAAAAATAAAAAAATATAGACTTTAGACCAGAGCCAATTAAATGAAAACATTAGAAAAAATATGAAGTTTATATTTTAATAAATCAAAAGTCAAAGAATAAAATTGAAAAACAAATTTAATTATAAAAAAATAAAAAATAATAATTAAAAAAATAATATTTAAATTTAAAAACAAAATAGAGGATAGATAATTTTGGATTAAAAGGCTAAATCGAAAAAAAAACTTATATCACAAAAAAATTAAAGAATAAACCATAAAAAACAGAGAAATGAGCTTTAATTTAAAATAGTTAACAAAATTAAAACTTTAATTAAAAAATAAATTTAAAAACAATTAAAAATTCACAGAAAAAGATAATAAAGAAACCGAAGAAAGAAAATCAGATTGTTGCATTTTGCTTGAAAAGAATTAAAATATTAAATACTCATGTACGAGTAAATTTGCAGAGAAGATTAGCCTTCTCGCTCCACAGACATATGCACCATTGCGAGTACCATTTCCTCTCCAAAGCATAATTATAGATCGATGCTTTATTTAGTAACTCGGCGGAAAAAGGAAAAGGGCTTCTTGTATGCTTGCCCCCATGCTGAGTTGGGCACAAAGGGAATAACAATAATCTCAAGCACCTCCCTGTGCCCCACATCATATAATACCGTTTGATTCTTTACTGATAAAGCCTTATCTCTTGTATTGAAAAGTGGTAAGCCTTTATATTAAGAAAAATATATCTTACTGATTCTCCTTCGCTATAACTTCTTGGTATGCAGTGAAAGTGTCTACAAGCTGGAGAACATATATCCAGGAAACAGATAGGAATCTGCAAATTTTTTTATTTAAGCTGTGCTGAGTTATTTCCTACTCCCAGAGAGTGTCCAATCCTAACTGGATTTGGTACAGGTTTGAATGAATTTCTTCTTCAAGTGGTAGTAGTTAGTGTTTGCTGCTGTAATGTTATTTTGGATTTACTTGATCCAGGTCAGAAACTTTTGAAGTTTTCAAATGGTTATTAAATAGTGTTTTGGAATGTTTCTGTTGCTGTCTTGCAAGTCATGAATGCCTTTCAGGTGAGAGGCACTGTTAGCTAGTCAGTGTCTCTTTCTTAAACTTCATCAGCTGTAACTTTCACAAAGCCAAAGGGAAGTCTTATCAATCTATTACATCCACCTGAAAAGAGCATCTATAGCTAGCTGCTACATCAATTTCAGCCCTTCCTATTAGAATTCATTTAGCAGTCCAAGCTTATTGATCAAGCCCTCACATGGCTCCATCAAATACAAGAAGATCGACAAGATGCAAGAGGCAACAAATTGTCCCAAATTGCGGAGAACCATCGAGGGATCTGCCTTGCAGTCACAGCACTACTTCTACCAGCTCCAAAGAGTCATGCACTGTCAACATTAATGACCAAGAAGGTGATAAGGACATCGTTGGCTGTTCTACACCAAAGGCTCAAAGATTCAAAATACCTGAGATCTTATCTTGTCCACCAGCTCCAATGAAGAGAAGGGTAACTACAAAGTGCTCGTCAAAGAAATCTCCCATAGTCTTTTTCGCTCCTCCAGATATAGAGCTTTTCTTCTTCTTTGCATTTCATGATAATATCCCAGCTTAACTGATGTGCTTATACTGGTTCTATGGATGACTTCTATGTACTAATATTTGCAACTTAATGATGGCCATTAAAGTGTGCAATTAGTAATTAGGGCTTGAAGATTGAGCAATCAACCTTGATTGCAGATTTGTGCTAGTTAATTATTTCAGTAGGGTTTGTATTTTATGGATGTATGTGCCTATAAATGCTGAATCTTCAATTTCATTCTCTTTTTTCCCCCTTATACGCCTTTTAATTTGTTAAAACTATCTTGTGGATTAATTTTGTTAATTTCTAGATAATTACTTTTAAGACGTGAGATATACAAGATCAGGGCTGCGGATTGAGTAAAACATACAGTGCTTAATTCCTAACTCCATTAGAAGCCTTTACAGAACTGTGATTTCTTTTTTTTGTTTTCATGTGAATATTACTTTGTAGAGGGAAAGAAAAGAAAAACAAGAAAAGCTTCTTTTTAGAGTGACTTCGATGATTGAGTATTATTCTTTTGCTTTTTCCTGTTGAGCTTTTTGCTACCTTCGACAGTATATAATCTTAGTAATCTTGGCATCTTCATCTAATATTCACACTGTTTCTCTCAGTCTTCATTCTCATGTTAACATGTAAACATGCAATTTTCTTGCTGTGCTAGCTTCTGCACCATAACTTGATCGTCACACTATGGTTTGGCGCTTGACTCGCAACGACCTGCCTAAATAAATTAATTAGAAATGTATCTCAACGTCATAAATTTATTTTATATATATAAAGGATTTAAATGTATTCTCTTGGGAGAATTTTATATGAACAGTGAAACTTTTTTTTTTAAAAAAATTTAAATTCAGCCTCTTTTTTCCCCATTTCCCTCTATGTTTTATTTTAATTTTGTTTTTCTTCTTAATTTCATTTTTAAGCTTTTTTAATAGTTGTGTGGATTGTTTTGGGCCAACTAAATTGACTAAATCACATCAAAAAAACTTCAACATAATTTAATCATAAATCCTTGCCAAGTAAGAAATTGGGTTAAGAGTTTTTTTTTCCCTGTAAATCTCATTATTTTTTTTTCAATTTTTTTCTTAGATATTTTTTTACCTGTCAACCATGTTATTTTTGAATTGAAGAAGTTGACTAAGTCAAATCAATACAACTCCCACATGATTTCAACTAGATAAAAAATTAAGTTAGGAGGTTTTTTATATCAATTTTATCATTAAAATTTTATAGCATAAAAAAGATATTTAGATGATTATAGTGTTTTTAAAAAAGAAAGATAAGTTGAGATTTAGGTCAATGATTTAATTCAATTCAATAGCCTTGATTAATTTAATAATATAATAAAAAATACATAACAATAACATATAAATCAACCAATACAAATTAGTATGAGTTAACCTAGGTTATCTCGTAAACTCTATGAATCAACACCTAAAATTAGGATAACCCTATAGAGTGATAGAATTGCAAAAATTGATTTTTAAAAAGGATTTTAAAGAAAAATAACTAAGTCAATCCACACAATCTTTCAAACTCATAATTTAAGTTTTAAAGCTAAAATTATCTCATAGAAAGTAAACTCGAAAAAATAACAAAGCTAATTTTTTTATTAACAAAATCTCAATAAATAAAATACCAAGGAATGAAATTAGAAAAAGAAGAAGAAAGTTTAAATTTAAAAAAGATTTTAAAAAATAAATAGCAATTAGAAGAATAATAACTAGATTTGATATAAAAATAATATAACATAAGATATGAAGAGATGCAATTGAAAAATAAATAGCAATTAAAAAAATAACAAATAGATTTAATATAAAAATAAAATAATATAAAATAAAATATTAAGTGATGCAATTGAAAAACAAATTCAATTAAGAAAATGATTTTAAAAAATAAGGATTATATTTAATATATAAACAAATCAATGAAGGATGAAATTGAAAGAAAATTTGAATTCTATAAATTATTTAAAATAAAAAAATAAAAATAAAAAAATCAAATATGAAGAAAAAATAAATTAAAGGGTTACTTTAAAAAAACCACATAATTAAATGTAAAAATTAAAAAGAAAAAAAAATCATTAATACTAAATTAAAGGTCTATCAATTACACGGACAGCTCAAGAATAGAGGGGCCACCATGAAAATTCAAAGGTTAACGTAGAAGCCAATACTTGATGGTTGAAAGATGTCTGTGTTGTCCATAGAGCACAAAAGAAGTCGGAAACATATCATCCATTTTTTAATATAAATAACATTTCATACCTACTAAAACACCAAATTGCCCTTGGTACAACTCAATAATAACAAAAAAAAAAAAAACCGACAGTGAAAGACTAAAAAACCCCTGGATACAACCATAATAAAAATAATAAAAATGCCACAAACACAAGTTAAAAATAAATTGAATTCAATGATAATGGAATTATTTTACCATGCTAATAAAAAAAATATGAAATAACCACATTTTAGTATATTTTTGATTTATATAGTATGTTAGTCATTTTATTATGTGAAAAACAATAAAAATACTTTATTATCCCCTTTGCCCAGGTTAGTTTTTTTTTTTTTTAAGAATGATAAAATTACGATTCTGTTGTTATAATCTATAGTGCCATTGAGAATGAGACAAGAGTTACAGTAAATATTCTACAGTAAACCGTCTTTAATAAAGGTTGAATTGTCATGAATAAGATGCGTTAAGTTAAAAAGAAAATTATAGCCAAGTAGCTTAGTGGTTTAGAAGCTACTCGTCTTTTTTTAAATTTCGGTTTGAATCTTAATAATATGGTGGGGTTAACAAATGGTTTTTTTTTTGTTTTTATTGGCTCCTTTATAGTATGTTTGTCACCCTCGCGATAACTTACCTATTTATTAGAATTATAGGATGTTTAATGGGCCATAAGATTAATCGTAATACGTACAAACTAGTCTGAACACCTATATTAATAAAAAAAAAAATTATAATAATATCGTTCTAAGAAAAAATCAAGTTTTTTTTAACTGAATTCAGCCTG